ACAGCTATCTCGAGCCACAATGAAGATCCTACAGAATGAACAGAACAGTGGCAGATATCTGTACTACAGACCTATCTGTCCAGTGCTCTGCACCAGCGGAGAGAACGCCTCACAATCACAACAACAACATCAAAAAAACATGACTGAAAACAAATCCCAACTGAAAGTAAAATGCATTACTGAATAATCAAGCCAGGCCGCACTAAAGAATCCATCTTTAAACAATTTAAAATTTGTTTAGATGACAAAAACATATTTATCAGCAAAATGAAACTATTTTTTTCATTTTCTGCGAGTCTCATTCTATAATTGAAGAGCTGATAGACCTGTTTTCCAACTGACCAACACTCTAGATTTCCTTACCAGGCAAATCTAGTCAAGCTGTAAATTCAACAGGCGCGCAGTCTTGCGAATGGAACAATAAAACCTTTGCCCAGTGTGCTGCAGGCTGTGCACGTTAAAGATCCCCGCGACAATTCCATCTCAAACAAAATTGAAGGCAGCTGCAGAAATGTGAGACGTAAAGTCTCCATTCATTTCATTCATTTCTGAATTCCGCAAATCATAGCTAAACCGAACATTTATACAAACGCAAACCAGACCGTGAAAAGCACGGGCAGTGTCTTCCCTCATTTTCTACACACCACAAAAAAATTTGATCAAGACATAAAGAAAAAAAAAAACAGAGAGGCCTAAGAATTATGTTCCTGACATTTAGAAAAAAAATTTGAAAAAAAAAAAAACAAAAAATGGCAACAGAATGAATTAAAAAAAAAAATAATGAAGCCTACGCCTTCCTTTGAAAAAGTGCCTCACTCCCCACAAAATGAAACAGTGCTTTAGGGATGTGTGTAATCTTATTTGCCAGTCAGGTTTGACTTTGTTGTTGCTTATGTCAAACATATTTTTAAACACATCACACCACTTTACTTTGACACCACACTCTGGCACACTTAACGCTTGTGCAGTTGAACAATGGACAGCTCTTCAATCTAGTTCCATGTAAAAAGATCTCAATTTGTGCAAGATTTATTAGTTTTCTCTTTATTTAGCAAAATAGAGTAAAACAAGTCAATTTGTGAGTTATTTGTAGTCTGCAGCCGGCTTAGTATGGACTGAGTTGTCTTTTCCTGTTATTAGCTCTCAGATTGAAGAGTCAATAAAGGTAGTTTAACGTCATTTCGCCCCCTTTGCCACTTCGCCACGGGGTCTCATGAACAAATTAATAAAACTTGCGAATCCTTTCCTCATTTGCGATTGCAAACATGGTCGGTTGTTCAAACTACCTCTTCGTACGGTACAAACCGTCTAAATGCCGTCTTAGAGTCGTTTCAAGACAAATTTATTTACCAGGGACGAAATGACATTGGGGCGGTTTGACTTCTTAAAATTTACGTTGGATGACAATCGAGACTTGATCGTGTACT